AGTCTAAACGATTTATCTTCTAATTTTAAACGTGGCTACAATAACCAAAGTTTCCATTACTCGTGGACCCGTGGTTTTACTTTTACATAGGAGCAAACGATATGTTCCCACCCAAGGTAAAGCGAAATGTCAAGTTCCCACTCCTGGTTACGAGTTTGAGGAGAATGGAGAAATGTTAGCAATTTTAGATGTTGACACAAATATAGAATCTGTTATTACCATATTGCCCTTGATAAGTAAATTTGAAAATTCTTTTTTACCCTCCAAGTTAGTAGAATGATAAAATAACCCCACATCTCAAATCTTTCCACTGCCTCTTCGCCTCTACCTCTACAAACCCCCATCCACCCCACTCGATTTCATCCACAATTTGCTGACCACAACATTGTCATCCAGACCATTTTTGGTGCCCCCTATGCCTCCCTCACCCTCCCCCAACCGTTGTCGCCCCACTGGTGGCTTGATTTTTGGGGTTTAATCACTTCACTATCTGGCGCCTGTCGGCACAAATTTGCCATTCGTTTGCGCTGTGCTTTTCGGCGAGATTGGGGTTGATTGGAGTTTTCTTTGATAATATTTTGAAAGGAGATTGTTTGTGTGTTGTTTGGAGGTCGTTTGGGATCGGTTAAGAAGTGTTTTGAGTTTGTTTTCTAGGATTGATGGAATTTGGGGGAGGATGATCGAAGCTTTGTAGATTTTTGCATTCCACCTGTTTGTAAAAATTCCCAAGCAACTCTCCTTTGAACGGTGGATTTCTCTCTTTTTTTTCCTTTCCTCCCCGTTTTTCTTATTTCTTTTTTCTTTGATGACTAATTGATAGTATGTATTTTGTATTATGTGATTAAATTGTTTAATAGATTATTGATTTGGGTTGGAAGTGTTTGTAATTAGTGGGTGTTTGCGGTAGCGGTGATGGCTGTATGGGGTGGTTCTAGTGGCTGGTCATTTTCAGTTTGAATGTTTAATTTGGAATGACCATTCTAACCTTTGACTGTTATATTAATCAATTGTTTGTTACTTTAAGGGTGGAATCTAGAATTTATGAAAGCAAGGGTGGGAACTTGCTATTTGGCTTTACCTTGGGTGGGAACACGTCGTTTGCTCTTTACAAGTTTACATAGCTTTGCAGCCTAATATATATTATGAACCACACTAAATAATTGCAGCCACTTGTTAAGCTATACCTAATAATCTTTTCACCTCAAATGCTTCTCTAAAGTATAGTGGATTATAATTTTAGAGACTTCATGGGGTTATATCTACTCAAAATAAATATTATTCACATCTATTTTTCTAAATACACTCATCAATGTTTAGATTATTTTTTAACCAAACTTTTGCTTTATTATATTTTCATTCAATCAAGCATTAGTAAATTTTTTTTTTTTTTATGACTGGGGCGTCTCAATCAATTTGCACACACATCAACTAACTCTCAGAACCTTAGAACTACTGGCTAGGTAAGAGCTCTAGTGACCACCTCTATTACCAAGTGTTGAGACTCGAACTTGAGGAAACCATATTAGATCCTCCTCTTACTCTTGTACTACTAGGGGGACTCGGACTCGGGAGGATTAGTAAATTAATTTTGTATTAAAATTACTAGGAAAAACTTGTTTTAGTAAAAATAATATCACCCTAATTCATATTCTCTCCTTCATTTACTTATTTATAGTTAATACTTTTAAAGACTCAAATTTGCCCATCATAATGGTATGTTGATAAGTTAGCCCAACTAATTTTTTTGTATAGCATACATATTTTCATTACTCATTCAACTAAATCCAATTTCGCATTTGATCAACTCAACCTAATTTTATGTATATTTATTTTTACATAATATATCATAGTTTATAATGTACAGTGATTATTTAATTTCTTCTTAAAAGTTTAGATAAGAAGAACAATAGCTTAAGTTACGTCTCCTCTTATGATTGGATGGCAAAACCTTTAGCCACTGGGATTAGTTATACTCAGGGGGTTCTATGTTCGAGTCCTAGGAGATGTACCTACTACGTTTGTGCAAACCCCTTAGTCCATTGGACTTGTAGGGTAGTTACATAAAAAAATAATAGGTTAAGTGAAGAGGGAAATTGGATTGATGGAAATTTAACAACTAAATACAAATTAACAACTAATAAATGATAAAAATAAAATAAAATACATAACCCAAAATCCAAACAAATCAAATAGTACTAAAAAACACTAGGGTGTTGATTTCACTTAGATTTTGCATTGAATTTCAATAGGATTTAGGATACTTCTCATACAATTTGGGTCATAATTGCTATTTAATTCTATTAAATTTTTTTTTTTTTGCAGGCCTAAACGATGATTTTGAGCATAAATGATAGTTTTGAGCGTAAATTACATAATTTGAGCTTGACAACTCGGAATGACCTGAATTTGGAAGCTATAGAAAGATAAGAAGCGAGCTACAACTTTCATGTTTTGGATTTTTTCCTAATTTTGATTGGAAGAAGGTGAAAACTTTGCTTGAAGTCATGAACAACATGTTGGGAACCGAAAAAAAAAGGTCTTTGGATGTACTTCAATATTTTGGTCATAACTTGAGTTGTAGACCTTGGATTGGGATGATTTTTGAATGAGTAGAAAGATATTTGAAAGGGATACAATTATTATGTTTAACATTTTTCCACATTCAAACGTTTTTGTACTCAAATTTGGCCCAAAAGATCTTTGTTGCAGCAAAACTGAGTCAGATATGAAAAAATAAAACGACGCGTTTTGGCTTGATAGGGCTTCATCCTTAAGTGAGAGTGGTATAAATTGACACGCAAAGGAAGGGAAAAGAGTCTGGGTTCATCATTTGAGAGGCAGCTCTTGGAAGAAGAAGATTATTGAAGATTTGTGCTTCAAATTAAAGAAGATTTCTTCATCTTTTGCTTGTTTTTCAATGATGAACCTTGATTCAACTTGTTTTTGTTATTTTGTTTTGTTTTTGAGTATGAACTGAGTTGTTTGGTTAGGGTTTGATGTAACCTTGATACAATGATTCAAATTTATATGAATTGATTTACTTTGAGTTTTAATTTCATGATTGAGTGTTTATCTCTTTACTTAATGACTTTTGAATGTTTGATCACCATTCATATGTGTGTTGTTTACAATAAGACTGAGAAGTGATTTGTGATATGTGCCTCTTGAGATAAATATTATAAATTGAGCGAAAACTAGAAATAGATAAACGCAATCTATAGAATTTTACAAATCTTAAGAGACCTTGAACTGTTAAACTTCAATTTATGGGTTCGAAGATTAATAGGAATAGGTAGGGTGGTATAACTTGAGAATGAGTACCAAACAACTTAGAAAATTTGATTTTCAATCAAGGAATTAGAACTTGGGTAATATATTCTATGAATTGGGTTTGCGTGTAATCTAGGTGAAATCAACACCCTAGCGTTTTTTAGTACTATTTGATTTGTTTGGATTTTGGGTTTTGTATTTTATTTCATTTTTATCATTTATTAGTTATTAATTTGTATTTAGTTGTTAAATTTCCATCAATTCAATTTATTATTGTCTCAATTAAGACTTAAACTATAGAAATCGGTACTTAGTAATATTATCCCCGTGGAAACGATATTCTACTTATCATTTTATTACTTTTTACTATTAGTGTACTTGTTATATATATGCATATAAAATACATGCATCCAGTTTTTGGCGCCGGTGCCGTTGGCTGAACTTCCTCTGGGCGTAATTGAAGATGAGCCAGTTGTTTCTGCATTTGGGGAGCACGAACAGACTGAGGCAGGGAAGGATGAGACCTTATGCCATGGTGAAGCGATATATAATATGGCAACCAATACAACTGCTCTAATGGAAGCAGAAGATTTGGTGAAGGTGATGGAGGAATTGCCTGTGAATGCAGTACCCGAAGTAGAGGAAATTCAACCATTGTCTTCAATAGCAGAGGGAGTAAAAAGTGATGAAGTGGCCATAGTTGGAGAGAGAGGTCAAGAAATGATAGATGTTGATCATGCGCCCTCTCTTGATTCAGCAGTTAAAAATGTTGTCACTGAGGAGTCCGAGGAAAAGAGAGAACGAATTTGGGAGCCGGAAGTAAATGGAAAGAAAGAAGACGATGTGCTTCTTGACTCACAAAGCGAGGAAGCGAAGTATTTAATTGATGAAGACAAAGTGGAAGATGAACTGCGTTGTGAGTTTGAAAGCACCAAAGAAGATGCTGTTGTTGCTGCACCAACATCCCAGAAATCTCCTGATGAAAAGGACATTGTAATGGAAAGAGATAAGAAGTTGATAGAAGAGAATGCAAAACTAAGAGAGATGCAGGAAAAGAGCAGTTAACTGTGATATCCAACTTAACTGGAAAAGTGAAAGATTTGGAGTCCAGGAACAAAAAACATGGAACAAGACGCTACAGAAAAAACACCACACACACCGTCTGGTACCGAATTGTTTAATAATTCCACAAAGGACAGGGCTGCTAGTGTTGCTATGTAAGCATGCGATATCTTTCTCAAAATCAAAAACAGTTGGTGATATATATGTAATATGGAACATGTAATGGGCGTGAGTGAGTGACGGTATGGTTGATTCGTGTAATGTGTTTGGTATGTATAAAATAAAATTTATGTTTCTTTTAATAGTTGTAGTATTTGCTTCTTGTCCAAGGTATGTTACGATATAATACTGTGATACATTCTTGAACTTCTGTAGCGCATTTTGACCAGCAACGTGAAAGTATTCACCCTTGTTATGCAGGTGCAACCTTAAAATTAAAAGTAAAAATGGATCATGCCATCCTTGACAGCCTGGAAAATGTATTTTGGGAATTAATCAAAATCCCTACAAGAAATTTCATGTTTGTTTGTACTTTGTCTATATAAATACTGCTTAACGTGAACTGAGATTTCAGAACAATATTTTTAATAACCGCAAAGTTGATTCCCATCATTTTATAGAAATTACCGCAAACAACTTTCTTCTCCATCCCTGTCCCTTAACAGAATAACAAACCAAGATTTTAATCATTAGAAATCTCCACGCGGCGCAATGACCCGCCTTAACTCTTCCTTTCTTGGTTCCAGTAAGAACCGTCCACCTCAGATCTCTGAATCTTGGTAAAATCACGGTCGCAGAAACAAGAAACAAGAAAAGAGATCCAAGAAAGAGGGGCTTAAAGTACATGGCATCTCATTTTCTAGAGATCACCTTAATCTCTGCGCAAGGTTTGAAGTTGCCCTCTACTAACAAGCGAATGCAGACATATGCCCTAGCCTGGGTTAACCCGTCCACCAAGCTCCGCACCCAAGTCGACCGAGTTGGAGGTGAAAACCCAACCTGGAATGACAAGTTCCTCTTTAAAGTGACGCCGGAGTTTCTGTCCTCCGAAACTTCGGCAGTCTCACTCGAGATCTACTCCACCGGTTATCTTCGCGATCACGTCGTCGGATGTGTCCGTGTTCTCATCAGCAACATCCCCCTCTTCGACAGCACCAAAGCTCCATCCTTTACGGCTCTTCAGATTCGCCGTCCATCTGGAAGAGTTCAGGGAGTACTTAATATTGGTGCAATGCTTATGGAAGGCTCCGCTTTCGCGGGATTAAACGAGTGTGATGCGATCGGATATCGTGACTTGATGGGTGAGAGTGAGAAAGGCAAGAGACAATGGGTGAGGAAATCGAAATCGATGGCTGATGACCTTAATGCCGTTTGTAGTAGAATTGAGTCTTTGGAGAATTCTTCTTGTGCTGGATCTCCTAGTTCGGACGATGGTGATTCGACGACTTCTTCATCGTCCACATCATCAACGGCGTTGAAGGAGTGGAATAGAAGTGGCATCCCAGGTTTGGCGCCAAAGCATCGTCGAATGAGGTCAATATCGGCAGGTATGTTGTGCGGGATGTTGATCAATAGGAAGAATTGTTCCGGTCCGTCTGATCAGAACTTGGATGGTTAAGTGCGGGTCCCAATCCCATGAAGGATGGATTTAAGGTAGATTTCATCTGTTGTATTTGATTCGTACATTTTGGGTTTTATGACTAGATTAATCCCGATTAACGGTGACGATATCATATCCCTCTCTCGTATATCATATCCCTCTCTCGTCTCTCTGTTTTTTGTGGTATTGTGACTTGTGCTTTAAGTCATTACAAAATATTTGGTCATTGAAACCCACCGAGCTGAAACCAAGAAGGAATTAGAGAAGAAATTTGGTTTTGTACCTTTTGGTTCCAGAAGGATTATACAGTTCTGAGTCGAATAAATAATTAGATTTCATGTATATTAGAATCAGAATATGGATGTGGAATGGAATGGAATGACTGATGTTACAAACTAACATTTTTTTAAATGTGTTTCAATTTATATACATTTCAAAATACGGAGCATAATCACAATGAACATACTTTAGTTTCTCTTTTCTAATCATCATAATCCAACGCTAACAAGCTTGGAGAATCCATGAGAGGATCTGATGGTATATATATATAAATAATAATAATCCCAGATTCAATTCTTTCGCACTTGTTAGGATGACTAGTTTGAAGGGAAAGACCTGTAGGAGATTAGAAAAGGTGCAAGGATTTTTTTATTTTTTTTGGGGAAAGCTTGGTGTTTATGTAAAATTAATTATTAAAATTTGTTTTAAAGGGGCTTGAAAATTGTTGTGTTGGGGCTTAGGACGAGTCTGAGTAAATATTATAGCATTGCTTTCCAGACGATTAAATGCCAGGCCTTGGGTTGTCTGAGCATAAGATTAGGTCCAATTACACTAAGGCCCAGCTAACCCACCTCCTTTTACCATTCTTGAATCTTGAACCTGTTTTGGGTGCTCCAACTCAATCTCTTGCTACCAACTATTAATTATCTGAGTCAGTAAATCGGTGACATCTATATTGCAGATAGACATAATGCAACCGATATGGGAACCAGACAAATAAAAGCGGAACGGAATTGAAACATTGATAAAGGTCATTTCATCAATCAAATGCCAGCTATCTAATAGTAGTAACTCAAATCTGTAGGATTCTAGTCTGCAAAGAGTGGGTTGGTGATCAACTCATCAAAACATTTAGACACGAAGATTAAAGTGAGTAAATTTGACAGAAACAACACAAGGATAATACCTTCGGGTTAAAGCAGATGACCAAAAATATGGGGATGGGGACCATGTAAACTAGAAGAAGGGTTTAAAAGGCAGAGAAGAGAAGGAAAAAGTAAAACAAAGCAAGGACCATGGGATTGGGATCCATTAGCAAGAGCACTGTCATCTGTGTAGGAGTAGCACAGAGCACGACGTGATTGATTTATGATCCCATCGATATTTAATATTAATATAAAATTAAATCAGAGACTAAAGAGTCAAGACCCATTCAGAGGCCAAAGTNTGTAAAATTTGTTTTAAAGGGGCTTGAAAATTGTTGTGTTGGGGCTTAGGACGAGTCTGAGTAAATATTATAGCATTGCTTTCCAGACGATTAAATGCCAGGCCTTGGGTTGTCTGAGCATAAGATTAGGTCCAATTACACTAAGGCCCAGCTAACCCACCTCCTTTTACCATTCTTGAATCTTGAACCTGTTTTGGGTGCTCCAACTCAATCTCTTGCTACCAACTATTAATTATCTGAGTCAGTAAATCGGTGACATCTATATTGCAGATAGACATAATGCAACCGATATGGGAACCAGACAAATAAAAGCGGAACGGAATTGAAACATTGATAAAGGTCATTTCATCAATCAAATGCCAGCTATCTAATAGTAGTAACTCAAATCTGTAGGATTCTAGTCTGCAAAGAGTGGGTTGGTGATCAACTCATCAAAACATTTAGACACGAAGATTAAAGTGAGTAAATTTGACAGAAACAACACAAGGATAATACCTTTGGGTTAAAGCAGATGACCAAAAATATGGGGATGGGGACCATGTAAACTAGAAGAAGGGTTTAAAAGGCAGAGAAGAGAAGGAAAAAGTAAAACAAAGCAAGGACCATGGGATTGGGATCCATTAGCAAGAGCACTGTCATCTGTGTAGGAGTAGCACAGAGCACGACGTGATTGATTTATGATCCCATCGATATTTAATATTAATATAAAATTAAATCAGAGACTAAAGAGTCAAGACCCATTCAGAGGCCAAAGTACTTGCTCATATATCACACAACCAAATGCATTTCTTAGGATCGATATCATACGATACGATATCTGACGCAACGGCTCTGCCCACCCCACTGCCTTTGTCTCCGGGTTTTACGCCGACTCTCTGCATTTCATCTTTTTACATTTTACATTTAACATCTTTTATTATGTCATCAATACCCATCTTTCATTGACTGCAAACAAAATAAAACAATATAGTTATGATTTTGCCGGTGTATTTATGTCTACCCACACGTCAACACCATATCAATTGACGGCTAATATTAGTCCTGACATCTCTAAATACCCGATGCGATGCCGTGTAACTTTCTAACAAACATAAATGGTCTCCTTCTGTACCTACTATTTGACAGTCTAGAATGGGCTGTGCTTTCTAACCGCGAAATCAATATGAGAGGAACAACCCAATCAAATCGGGTCCATCCATAGACTTATGATGTGTTCTTTGAACTTATCAAATTATGTTTAAATATATTCTGAGGATGGGTTCATGATTTGTTTTCTGACCCAGTTTTTTCAGTGTAACCTAGCTCTAATAATTTTCAAAGGATAATTGATATATATTGGAAAAATGGTGCCAGTGGCCCCATGCATATAGAGTGTTGTTTGCTTGTCGTATAATCTTGGATCTACTTATCAGTTATCAGCTCTCTATAATTCCTGCTTTTTCAGTCTGATAATTATATACTCAAGAACCGAACTAATGCATCTATACTAAATAATTTGTTGGAGCTACGTCCCTACACAACCGCAATTAATTGATGTAAATCACGTGATCCATTATTATCATGTACTCAATGCCATATATGCAGGTTATCAATTATGCTTCTGATGCATTATTTAAAATACCGGCCCTTACATCAACCCATGTATAATTCACCAAGTTATATAATTCTTCCTTCTATTCTTGCTGCATAGAAGGAACATGATGACCACTCACATCTCTTGCCATTAGGTGCCAACAAAATTTACAATAACAAGAAAAAATCTTTGATATCAAAGCTTATTCATACTTTGTCTTTTTGTTCTGTGATTTTGGTTTGTCTCAGTGGCCATTATATGGGTTGGAACTTGGAAGTGAAGGATAATGATTGGGCAGCCAAAAATTTTGGTTGGATTGAAGACGTATTTGTGATTGAGTATTGAGTCCTGTCGTGGATATCTTTTTCGTGACCCTTGATTGTATTGAAAGGCACTGCAAGTATTTACAAAGAAATTGTAACCAAACAAACACCCTATACTAATGATTCTGAAAGAGACCTGAATTTATCAATAATAATTAAATAGAAAGGAAAGGCATATATAATATGTACACTAATAGATATGGATAATGTACATTTCAAACACATGGCAACCACCAATTGCCACTCAATTTCTAGTTCGCAACTCTACTACCCATAAACTTAATTCTAAATTCAATTGTTCCAACTCACTACGTGCAAATGATCAAGACAATGGGACTGAATCTAGACTAGATTCATTCAAATCATAATATATTTTAGATGTTTACACATATTTCTAATATATATCAAGATTCATTTTGAATCACACATATCAAAATGTATCACATAATTTGATAAATTAATATAAAATTATTTAGAAACATTCATGATGTTTTTAAAGTGCTAATGTTAAATATTTATGGATGATCGAGTGGTTTGATAGAGACTATTCAATATATTATCAAAAGGTCGTAAGTTTGAATTCCCACTCACGTTGCATTATTTTTTAAAAAAAAAAAAAAAAATTGGTGGCGTTGACAAATTGAGTGTTAAAAATATTGCTTAGTAAATGAAAAACGTGTTGTCTGTTAGCTGTAGTTACTGCTCTCAGTCTCTGCTCCACTAACTTGGCGTGAATAAGCGTTTACTGTGTCTGTGAGTGATGTTATTGTTAGGTGTTTTGGCCAAACTCAGTTTTAATTGTTTCAGAAAGACGCAATATTTTTTTGATCGATCATGAACATCATTTTCAAATGGTTTGGTGGGTTTTCCTTAACAAAATCTATACATAACAAGACAATAAAGCTATATTTTTATAATTAAACTATTACAAGTGAGACATGACTAACGTGCATAAGGTCTGTGCTTGGTGGAAAGAAGTTGTATAGTGGTGTTCCCACTTTGAACCCAAACGTTAAAAGGTCAATGCTCCTTGCTTTTTATTTTTGTAATTTTGATATTCTCTTTTCTCTTTTGTGTCATTTGTGATCATGCTCATACAACGCATAATACTATTTTTTTTTATATTATATGTTGGCGCTTGATTTGGACGAAAACGATTCGCATGTGAGAAGCGCTAAGCGAAGTTAGGAATCACGCATGATGGATCCATGAGATTTGAATATGGAGCTGAGATTATATATTTGCAGAAAACATAATAAAAGATTGGCAAGAGGTTTTTATAGTGGTTCGGATGCTCAACAAGCGTCCTACATCTACTGTTATTTATTGATCTTTGACTATTTCTATGATTTTGCCCGTAAGGCATACAAAGATGAAGAAATACATGTTTACAGAGAGAATGAAATGAAGCTCAAATCTTAACCCAGTCTCTTCTTCGGGAAGAGGAGTGCTAATTTATACACCTAAACATTTAATGCAATGAATGTTTTGCAAGTTGTCTGATATATAAAAGGCTCTCGTCCATTCATTTCTTGAAATAAGATATGAGTTGGTAAGAATATTTGAAGATATGAGCTTGGCAATTGGTACAAGAAGACATTAAATGAGTTTTAATAGGCATGACTTTTTAAGCCAACATTATATAAATCATTTGCAATCTATTTTGTTTGCATTCTGCGTCAGATTTTTAAATGTTTCAATATTTATTCCATGTGTTTCTACGACTTGTACTATTCTAGGTTTGTTTTATCTTACGGAGGCTTCTTCTTCCCACATCGATAAAGAGAAAGAGATTACATTATTATAAGTGTTAATCACAGTGCTTCATTTGTTGACAACCTTCTGTATTGGTGGCATTGATGCCTGCGATACCTGTGACAAGTATATCTTGAATTATGCCAGGTTAGGTCGACCTTATGACTTTGATCTTAATCTCGCGGACATTGCGACCGCCTACCTAAAAAGTATTAATTTTCTTTTAAAAGTTTTGACTCTATATTGGATATCAAACTTAACAAAGAAGTTGATATATAAATATATTTTAATCAAAATATTGATCAGTTTTCGTATATTAATTATCTAAATTATTAAACACAGTTTTAAATCAAAAACTTAAAAATGAAATAAACATTTTTAATCAACAGACCAATCTTTAAAGTGTGTGATAGTTTCATTCAAATAGAAATTAAAATGACATGTGAAAGTGAAGGAAATAATGAGGTAAAGAAGGCCCAACAAACCGAAAGGACAACCAAGGCCCAGGATCACTTTCCATGTTAGAAAGCAATTTAGGAACAAAAGAAAGGTTAGTCTTTAGTCTTACTTATGTGAAGTGGAGGTAAAGTATATTAGGCAACCTCTTAGGTTAGCAAGTACATACCAAAAGTAAAGAAAACAAAGTCTTCAAGGGAACAGCAACATGGGATGCAATAGCAATTTAAAAATTCATTAAATTCAAAAAAAAAAAAAAAAGGGTTGATGAGTAAGACAGCATTATTAATTTTATTTTTACACCAAATAAATCAATTTTCTTCTTCTCTTGTGTGAAAAAAACAACCAGTCTCCCATGCTCTTCGTATGCTATTTATAAACAAAGAAGGAAATAAACAAACAAATAAAAACCCAAAACCAATGCCACGCGCCTCCCCTCTCCTAAATATACATGCCATAGAAAGTGAAAACCGCACCTCACTTCATTCCCTGCCTGTCGTTTTGTGATATCAAAAAACAAACCAAATTTTAGAAACGAAAAAACAACTCTCTCTCTCTCTCTTCTCCTCACTGGGTTACTCGGCCATGTTTAAACCCAAATCTAGACTGACCCATTTCATCGCCATCTTTCATTTGACCTAAATTTTACTTTTACTCCGCTTCCGTATCATCTTTTCTATGTTCCTCTTTTTATTATTTATTTTACTCAGTTATACTATAAACCACTTCTTTGATTTTGGTCTGTTGTTTCCATTGTTGTTGTTTCCACCATTTTTGTCTCTGTTAAATTAAAAACTTGGGTACCATTTCAACACTGACAGTGGAGAAGACTCTGAAGAGGTATTGGACTGTGTTTTTTTTTTTTTTTTTTTTTTGGGTTTCCTTTTGGGCATTTTTTTTTCTTTTTTCTGTTTCATTTTTTTGGAATGCTTGTATTTTTTTGTTGACTGTTTTGTGCTTATGTTGGTTACGTTTGCGTTTAGTATGTGGGGGTTGATGTTTGATTGATTTGTAAGCGTGGCCTAATCTTCCTCTTTACCACATTATTATTGTCTAAACTCAACAATTTTTGTTATTGGGGTTGATGTTTAACATATAATGTTTACTTGTTTTGGATTAATAGACTCATTTGGCTTGAAATCTGGTTAAATATCTGCTTATGGTGTTTCTTATTTATACTTTTCTATCCATTTCTGGTAACAAATTTAGTGATATGCATTTCCTTTTTCTCCTCTCAGATTGCCATGTGTGTCCTTGGTTTCATGTGTTTGATATCTCTCCTTCAGAAGTTTGGTGGCAATTATATCTGCGGGTATGTTGTTACTCTGTGCGTCTTAATTTTCGTTCTGGGTACAATACCTGGGATGCATTTACTTCATCTACATGGTTGTTATGTCTGAATATGATTTATTTCCTTTTTGTTAGATCTAGTGAAGTGTATTTGAAAAGATATTAGGGTGGCTGAATTTTTTCTCATTTCTCAAATTGATATTGAGGGCTTATTTTACTAGCTACTTGTCGATTTCTGTGATATCTGAGTCTTTTTCATTAATGATTTTACAATCATATTCTTAAGGCTTATAGATGGGTTAGGTGTTCTCATTATTAGGATTTATGGGTAGTATGTTTTATTCTGCGCATGGCAGTCGTACATCCTCTTAATCTGAAAAACTCAGGAGGGTTAGTCTCAATTGTTTGCAATCCTCAATTTGGCCCTTATTTCCGGTGCTGCGTAAAATTTGATGTTCTAATGGCAGGGTATATATATATATTATATTATAATATATGATATATAATTATAATATATATATATATATATATGTTCTTTTCCTTATTAATGCATCTGGAGACATTTGATCCTAATTGCATATAAGATCTGAAGTTTGATTTCTCTTTTTTTGCAAGCCCATTGGATGAGTATGTGTCATCTTTTAATTCATTTCTTTTAACCTTCTATTACCTGTACTATCAACTTAGCAAGGTTTCGGTACACTTAAGATGGTCAGAAACGTGCATAACTGTTAGATCTTAATGCACTATACTGTTTTAACTGTTTGCGATTAATCACAGTTTATTATGTCTGAAGTCAGTTGTTTTGGTAACATAATGTTTTCTGAAGTGTTCTTGATTATTTCATGTATATAGAATAGACCAAGGATATATTTTCAGGTGATGATAGTAATGAGCTTTTTTATTTTATTTTTCTGCTAAGGCTTTTGCATTTGATTCCTCCAGATTATGGAGGGAGAAACATCATGGATCAATGATTGCGTTGATGAGGCAAGAGAAATTAGTGAGTTTGATTCATTCTTAGAGCTTAGTGACGAAGCTAATAAAGATGATTCTGGGGTTTCTGTTGACTTAATCCTTCCTGATGACCTTTTGGAACGAATTATAGCTTATCTCCCAATAGCAAGCATATTCAGAGCAGGCTGTGTGTGTAAAAGATGGCATGAAATTATTAGTTCGAAAAGGTTTTTGTGGAACTTCTCACATGTTGTATCACAAAAGCCTTGGTATTTTATGTTTACAAGCTCTGATGATCCAATTGGTTATGCTTTTGATCCCATCCTTCGAAAGTGGTATGGTATTGAACTTCCCTGCATTGAGACATCCACTTGGTTCATTGCTTCATCATGTGGCTTGGTTTGCTTCATGGACAATGACAGCAGAAGTAAGTTATATGTCTGCAACCCTATCACCAAGGATTGCAAGAAGCTTGAGGAGCCCCCTGGTTTGAAATTCTCTGATTACAGTGCCCTTGCACTCTCAGTGAACAGAATATCACATGGCTATACTATCTCAATTGTGAAGTCTAAGCAAGTCCCAGGAAATTTTTTCCAGTGGGATCTGTCAATTTATATTTATGATTCAGAAACAATGATGTGGGTGGCCTCCTGGACAGAGGTGCTGACCGGGTGGAGAGGTGGAGATGAGAGTGTGATCTGTGATGGGATTCTATACTTTTTGATATACTCAACAAGGGGTGGAACACCAGAAAATCGCCATGGCTTGATTATGTATAATCTGTCTAGCCGATCTTCCCATGGTTTGCTGATTAGGAGTTTTATACCAATACCTTGCCCTCTCACATGTGGTCGCTTGATGAACCTGAAGGAGAAGCTGGTAATGGTGGGAGGAATTGGTAAACAAGATCGACCTGACATAATTAAAGGGATTGGGATCTGGGTTTTGAATGGAAAGGAGTGGCAAGAAGTTGCCCGAATGCCCCACAAGTTTTTCCAAGGGTTTGGGGAGTTTGATGATGTTTTTGCTAGCAGTGGGACGGATGATCTCATATACATTCAGAGCTATGGAGCTCCTGCCCTTCTTGTTTATGATATGAATCAGAAACATTGGAGATGGTCACAGAAGTGTCCTGTAACTAAGAGGTTCCCACTTCAGCTCTTCACTGGTTTTTGCTTTGAACCCAGGCTTGAGATTGCTCCTTAGTTTGTTCCTCATTTGATTTGGTGGTATTGACAAAATTATCTGGAATTCCCTCATTTTCCTTTATAATTTGTTTTACTCCTATTAACAGCTATCAAGAAATCTGTGTTCCAAAAATTCTATACACAATGGGAATATTATTCTTTGCATTGAGATATACCACATACATGAATACAAGTGTGACTGTTTTTACATTGAAGATAGTCCTTTCAGAAGAGTTCTACTTTTAATTTCTATCCACTGCGGTTTTAATTGCTCTAATGTTCCCATTTAGTCATTCTCATTACTTTAACCAACATTTGGTTTTTTAATGCGAAACATGTAACCCTCATTTCCGGGTTTCTCAAAGAGAATACTATTAATCCTTTGAGAGCTGCACATTCATCTGTTTCTCACGTCTATAGAGTAGTGTAGGAGGGTACTTCATTTGCGATTTCCAAAGGGCTAGAAGTCTCTCGACCTCCAAGGAAAGTTTTGGGGATGGTGGTTTTGCTGTTTCTATTTGTAGATATGGTAAATTGCCATCCCCAAATCAAAGTCTAGAGATTTGCTACCTTTCTTTTTTACCAGGAAGAGACCCCTGCAAGTTTCAGGTCAAAACTTTTAGGAAATGGGCTGCCATGATACGGACTTTATAACTAGGTCGTTTTTTCCAGCAGCTTGATTTTTCACAATCTTCTGGACCTCGGACCACACCAAGCATTATTTGCCAGCGTAACTTATACAGGACATATACAATATATTTGATCCCAGTGCCACTTTAAATGTGGAGTTACGTACTTGCTCAAATCGGCGCTTAGGCGAAGCTGCTACCATAAAAATCTTTGTCGGTTTACATCAAATGACAAATATCACGTGGATGAATAATGAATCCTATCATGTTACCTAAAGGATTGGATTCACAAGGTACACTACTTTTTATTTGTTTTGGTCCATTGAAAAGACTAATTTGTCTGCTGCCTGTAGTAACCCAAAAAAGAATTTCTTGCTTGACCTTTTTGTGCATAGCGTACACAAAAATTTCTTAGAAAATAGCTCAAATAAATGAAAAAAATTGTATCTACCATCTTCCTCGAACAAATCCCCGCACCAAAAATCATAANCAATTTATATTTATGATTCAGAAACAATGATGTGGGTGGCCTCCTGGACAGAGGTGCTGACCGGGTGGAGAGGTGGAGATGAGAGTGTGATCTGTGATGGGATTCTATACTTTTTGATATACTCAACAAGGGGTGGAACACCAGAAAATCGCCATGGCTTGATTATGTATAATCTGTCTAGCCGATCTTCCCATGGTTTGCTGATTAGGAGTTTTATACCAATACCTTGCCCTCTCACATGTGGTCGCTTGATGAACCTGAAGGAGAAGCTGGTAATGGTGGGAGGAATTGGTAAACAAGATCGACCTGACATAATTAAAGGGATTGGGATCTGGGTTTTGAATGGAAAGGAGTGGCAAGAAGTTGCCCGAATGCCCCACAAGTTTTTCCAAGGGTTTGGGGAGTTTGATGATGTTTTTGCTAGCAGTGGGACGGATGATCTCATATACATTCAGAGCTATGGAGCTCCTGCCCTTCTTGTTTATGATATGAATCAGAAACATTGGAGATGGTCACAGAAGTGTCCTGTAACTAAGAGGTTCCCACTTCAGCTCTTCACTGGTTTTTGCTTTGAACCCAGGCTTGAGATTGCTCCTTAGTTTGTTCCTCATTTGATTTGGTGGTATTGACAAAATTATCTGGAATTCCCTCATTTTCCTTTATAATTTGTTTTACTCCTATTAACAGCTATCAAGAAATCTGTGTTCCAAAAATTCTATACACAATGGGAATATTATTCTTTGCATTGAGATATACCACATACATGAATACAAGTGTGACTGTTTTTACATTGAAGATAGTCCTTTCAGAAGAGTTCTACTTTTAATTTCTATCCACTGCGGTTTTAATTGCTCTAATGTTCCCATTTAGTCATTCTCATTACTTTAACCAACATTTGGTTTTTTAATGCGAAACATGTAACCCTCATTTCCGGGTTTCTCAAAGAGAATACTATTAATCCTTTGAGAGCTGCACATTCATCTGTTTCTCACGTCTATAGAGTAGTGTAGGAGGGTACTTCATTTGCGATTTCCAAAGGGCTAGAAGTCTCTCGACCTCCAAGGAAAGTTTTGGGGATGGTGGTTTTGCTGTTTCTATTTGTAGATATGGTAAATTGCCATCCCCAAATCAAAGTCTAGAGATTTGCTACCTTTCTTTTTTACCAGGAAGAGACCCCTGCAAGTTTCAGGTCAAAACTTTTAGGAAATGGGCTGCCATGATACGGACTTTATAACTAGGTCGTTTTTTCCAGCAGCTTGATTTTTCACAATCTTCTGGACCTCGGACCACACCAAGCATTATTTGCCAGCGTAACTTATACAGGACATATACAATATATTTGATCCCAGTGCCACTTTAAATGTGGAGTTACGTACTTGCTCAAATCGGCGCTTAGGCGAAGCTGCTACCATAAAAATCTTTGTCGGTTTACATCAAATGACAAATATCACGTGGATGAATAATGAATCCTATCATGTTACCTAAAGGATTGGATTCACAAGGTACACTACTTTTTATTTGTTTTGGTCCATTGAAAAGACTAATTTGTCTGCTGCCTGTAATAACCCAAAAAGGAATTTCTTGCTTGACCTTTTTGTGCATAGCGTACACAAAAATTTCTTAGAAAATAGCTCAAATAAATGAAAAAAATTGTATCTACCATCTTCCTCGAACAAATCCCCGCACCAAAAATCATAACAGAGATGGGCTCTTTTGGTTACAATACCATTTAAAGAAATGTACAAGATGCAAATATATTACAAAATTTATGTTAGCTACATATACACAAACAAAAAATATTGGAGAATCTTTATGTGGTCTGTCGTCCACAGAGATCAACCCATACCATAAGTGGGTGCTCAACCAAAAAAAAAAAACAAAATCATACCGATAAAATAAACTATAAATTACAAACTGAAGATATTTTTTTGAAAGATATACGGCAAATAATGGGCCTTTTTGGACCATTCTAGTTTCTTAATCGTCATAACCAAGCCAAAGACTGTACAAGTGAGCTAACCAAGCCGAACTGGATTTTCGTAAACGTACTCTCTCAGATCCCCACACGACTTTAACTAAAATAAAAGTGGCGCCAATAGAATTGTAGAGGATAAATTTATGCACAAAATGCAAATCTTGAGATTGATCAAAAGGATCCCTACTTTAATTCTCTGCAGAAGAGCCATAGTTCTTGAACTCTAAATGACAGCTACTGACAACTGTATGCCTGTATCGCATATTTACGCTCCTTTTCCTGTGTTTTTTAAGTTAATATACTTTACTTTCGGCTATTGATTTATGTTTCAATGGTTTTGTGAGGGCATAAAATTCTAAATTTCAAGTTGTTATCGGTTCACACTCTTCGTTTTAATGAGCTGGAAAAGTTGATTTGGCTTTCATTTTGCTGTTACCAAATTAGATTTCATTCATTATTGCTCGATATTTTCTTCTTCTCAAAGTTTTTTTTTATTTTCTAATCTATGCGGGGTTAGAGTGTGGATAGAAGCAGATCATAATATTTGGGTAGTCCAACTGGGCCTGACATGTCCAGTCCCTTTTGTTTGAAAGTTTATTAAAAGAGGGCTATTGAATGTAACCAGGCCCTTTTGATTTATTAAGGTGTATTTAGTAGCGGTTTATAAACCATAAAACAGTCCACAGTCCAGCCCAAGCCCAATATGTTATTCAATCACTAACAAAATCTTTCTGAGGCTGCTTGAGGGGCCGCAGCCCAATAACTGCATGTGCATAAAGCTCCAATCATGGATGGCACGCCATCAAAATTTGAGAACCCAAAAATCCATGCAACATGTGCGAAACCTAATTATTAAACATACAAATTACATTGTCCCTTGAATTTTATATATCATGCAAGTATGAGACATGTGCATTTTTTTAATATTTTTTATCACTCGGTATAGAGATTGTCAACACTCCCCATATCACATGCAACTAGAATCAACTTTTGTCAATTTAGGGCCTGGTGGGTAGAATTAGGGATCCATGTATTATTGGCATTCAAAAGAATAAATGGACGTGAGTTAACCCAATTAAATAAAAAAAGGCCCTCACTAGCCGTTAAAAACTGCAGCGACAACCATAGATTGAACTGAAATTTACGCCCGACGGGAACATAAATATAAGGGGAGTGAATACGAATTAATGGACAAGAGTAGAGCAGATGAGTTATTTGAGATTTAGTAAATATTAATGGTTTATGGGAGGAATGAATGTTGGACTGGACCACTTTTTGATTAAGATGCAACTACTTTTAAGTGGTCCATGACTCCATGTTGTGGTCCTTGTATGCTCTTGTGCTCGTGCACTTGGCTTCACATAGTAACAACTACTATATTTTTATCCATGTATTTATAACATTTTTTAAATTTTATTACAATTAATATATTACATAAAGTGTAGGCAAGTACATAAGAAATGTTTTGTCACTTTGACCTGCACACTTTTGAATAAATATTGTTTTATATGACCTCTTACTCTTAGGAAGAAGCATTGTAAGAATTTGAAATCATACACTAATATAAATAACATTTCTACGTTGATGCTTGAAAAAAAAGAGGGAGAAGCTGACGCAAAGTATAATAAACAAGGAGTAGAAGTTAGGTGATATTTGGACAAATGTTGTCTGTTCATTTGAGCATATGAGAGTGTTTAAAACAGCAATACGAGGACAACCAATCAGTGTCGGAAGAGTTTGTGTTTGCGTGTCGGTGTCATGCAACCATTTATAAGCCACATGGTTATGAAATAATAAAGCTTTTTATTTTGAACAAATAAAATCTTTATTTCAAGAAATATCTGAGTAAGCAATCATTACGTATCTAATTTTTGTAAATTGGTTAGCATATCTGAATTGGCATGGTTATGGTTTAACACCCTTTTAATATTTCCAAAGGGAAAAATTAAAGCCATAATTATACTCTTATAAATAAAGTGATACTTAAGTCTATGCCTAAATCAAAGGAAATATAGCATAGAGTAGCATGGAAAGAGGCAAAGAGGAGGTGGGTCTATGCATTTTAATGCAAATTTTAAGTTTCAAACTTACCACAAAAATTGTGCAGTGCTGACTCTGACATTTGAAGTTAGTGAAGCCAAAGACGACTTTATAAACAGGAAATAACTCCTACCTAGAGATTCAGTTTCAGAGAGTGAACAGATTGTTCGAGAGAGAAGAAGAAGAACCCATATTTTGGGGTGGAGAGAGATGAGTATTGTACTCGATGAGAAAGTAAAAAGAAGCTCACACAATTTGAAATTTTAAGAGAGAGAGAGAGAGAGTTTGTGTGTGAGTACTGAGTGGTGAGTAGAGAGAAGGAAATATGGAGAGAAAAGAAAAAGAAGTGGAGAGAGGGGAAAAAAAGCAAGAATTAATGGTGAAAAAGTTGAAACGCGGGATTTTGGTAGGGAAAAGAGCAGGCCCCTCTACTCCTTCACCCACTTGGAGACTTGAGTTTACATCTCCAACTGTAAAAAACTCCATTGCTCAAGAATTTGTTATTAATCATCCTACGTCAGCGGTTTCTGCTAGAAAACTTTGTGCCAGTCTCTGGGAGATTCAGCCCCACCGCCTCTCACTTCCTCAAATGCCAAAGCCAAGTTTTAAAAACAAACACAAGGGTTTTGATCTTCCAACTCATCTGGTTCACCACCCTCCTACTACTCTCCCTCACCAGGTACTTTTTTCTCTCTTTCTTTTTTATTTTTTAACTTGCGATATGAGGTCATTGGGTGAAACATAACCATTGCTAGCATCTCCACTAGAAGGCGAAGCTGGAAGCCCAACAAAGAATTTACCAGCTTTAATTGACGACGTCCATTTGTTCCAAGAGTTCTGAAAGTTGTTTGGACTGCTAGAGCTAAACTCACAAGGAGGATTATTGTAAAACTGGACCCAGACATAGTCAAACAGTCCCGTAGTAAGTGCTGCATTGAGATATTGGTCAGGGAATGGACACTGTGGAGCTGCACCCAAGTATATTTTCTTTCCTCCTTGACTGTGTTCCGACAAAGCCATGGCAAGCGTAGGATAGTGAGCACCATTACCCATCTCAATGTCAAAATCTATACCATCCAATACGGCATCACCAAGTGGTCTCGAATTCGATTTTCCCCCTAAAAAGTTGTTCCATAAATAAGCTGCGACACTCCTAGCATCATCATCATCTGATGACAAGGAGTAGCTGCCGGCACCACCTCCAATTGAAAGCAGCACCACAATGACTCCGGCGTTTGATTTATACGCATTTTGAATCAAGGTCAGAAAGATGTTTCTAATTCTGAATCCGTTAGGCTGCAAGTTGTTATGTTGGGACCAAGGAAATAAATAATTGTGGCTAAATAAATGCATCTCATAATTCCACCAATCGGAAAACAAAAGGGTGCCCGTTTCTTGACTTCTACATGCACGAAGGAAGAAAACAAGGTAATTACCTCTGTTTTTGGATTCCTGGCACTGGTTTACGTTACCACATCCTCTTCTCTGTGTTTTTATTCTTTATGATCTAAGTATGCATAAAATATTCTCATTTGTAATAAATTTACGAAGTTGAAATCTTAATTTGATATTGCGTGCAAGAATAACGGGAGCAGAGTATTATGTAGATGATAACATCTTTTTATGTTCTTGGAATTCTTAATTTGTAGAGAAGTTGATAACACGTTATAACATTGGGATTGATAGATAATTGATCTTTTTAACTATTTATAATAGAATCCTTTGCGTGGTATAATTTTATTGAAAATTCGGAGTCCTTAGTATTATTACATCATCAGAGTACTAAGGTAGAACCTTTTTGTTTAAGCTGAAATTAAGTCGAAGAAGAAAAAGCAGTAGTTTAATCAAACGTTTGGCTTAATAGCGGAGCTATAGTCTTTGTCATAATACCTTGACCAAAGCATGACACCTCCATAGTTTGAAGAAGTCTTAATAGACGGTAAAATCTGAGAGTTAAGCACATCAGGAGCAATATAGCCACTCCCAGCTGCTTCAGGAGACGCAGGCAGTCCCAAAAATACTTGGCTTGAAGGTTGATTTGATGTCCACTGATTCCAACTGCTCTTAAGGCTGTCTCCGTTACCAGAATATTCACAAGGATTGTTGTTATAGAATTGGACCCAAATGTAATCAAATAGGCCAGTACTTAATGCACCACCCACCCACGCATCAGGGTACGGACATTGAGGAGCTGCTGATAAATACACTTTCTGGTTAAATCCTGATAAGGCCTTAGCCAGTTCGTCCCAGTTCTGTGCAGTGCCTCCCTCAATATCAAAATCAATACCATCTAAAGCTGCGTCACCTAATGGACGTGAGCTTGATTGACCACCAAGAAAATTGTTCCACAAGTAATTCGCAACTTCCCTGCACGGCATTAAATAACATTAATTAATTTCTCATTTGTCAATAAGGAGCTAACCAATGAAAATAATAATAATAATAATAGAGCATGCCTGGCATCATCAGCTGAGGAAAGCAAATAGCTTCCTGAACCACCTCCAATAGAGAGCATGACCTTAATTCCTTGGTTCTGGCAAGCTTTAATGTCGGAGCTCAAACCAGTGCAACCATTAGAGGCAGGATCACAGTGGCCAGCGAGATTGAGTGACGGGGTCTGGCCATTACCAAAGGTGGATAAGAAAGCTATGTTCACAATTCCATAATTGCCAGTGGCACAAGCATCTGCTAGGCTTCCTTCATTTCCATTCTGACCCCAGTACACGGAGATCACACCGGCATTAGAGCCGCTGATGAAGGCAGCTAGCATGAGGCAGAGTAGGGCTATAGTGTTCAGATATTGATGAGCCATTGTGGTGAGGTGGGCTAGTCTACTGCTTGGTTGAACATTCATTGAGAAACACATTCTTATATAGATTAGCATGTAACAATGCCTTCGTTTTAGCCCAGTTTACACTCCAAGTTATGGTTGTTTAATTAATATTTTATTAAACGTGTCTTGAAGGTTAGAAAGTCCTCCAATTGAGTAGTCTTCGAAAGACTTTTCAAAATATACATTGGGCTAAATTTAATCTAGACATATTGCTATTGAAAAGATTTCTGATCCAGTTCGTCCACCATAACTCTAGACAACTGAGACTTGAGAAAATTGCTTAGGCCCATAAATATTTTTATGCATTTTTTATTTAAACAAAAAAAAAATTGATTTTCTTTTCTAATTATAATTATTTCGAATCCAAATTTTTGGTTAAACAACTTTTAATTTCAGTATCAAATTCTATTTAAGGTCAATTAAAAACAGCTGGTTACAAGTTTGAGGAGAACGGAAAAATGTTTGGCCCAAAACATAAGATGCGTATAAAATGGAAGTCCACAAGGAAAGTCAAAGTCTAAACAATTTATCTTCTAAATTTAAACGCGGCTACGGTAACCAAAGTTTCCATTACGTGTGGACACGTGGTTTTACTTTTACATTGGCGCAAACAACATGTTCCCACCCAAGGTAAAGCTAATTTCCATTACGTGTGGACCCGTGGTTTACTTTTACATTGGAGCAAACAACATGTTCCCACCCAAGGTAAAGCTAAATGTCAAGTTCCCACTTCTGATTTCAAGTTTGAGGAGAATGGAGAAATGTTAGCAATTTCAGACGTTGACACAAATATAGAATCTATTATTACCATATTGCCCTTGATAAGTAAATTAGAAAATTATTTTTTACTATGACTTAACGCTTCCATTTCCAACCTAATTCAATTATTCGTCTCTCAAAATAACACCCTTTTCATATGTTGCGTTAAATAAAAAAAATATCTTTTCCATCCCTTCAATTATTTAGAAAAAGAAAGAAAGAGTTACTATTAATTCCTGACATGGGCTAAAAAGTATGATGAATTATAGAGACACATTTTAATTAATGTTAAGATTTCCACTCTCTCTAAACCTATAGATAGATGAATATTTTTAAAAGTGATGTAACATTTCTACCACGAGAAAATTGAACAAATGGGTTCCGTGATATAATTTGTTGGTTTGGAAAATATCAAATCATACTTAATGCAAAAATATATTACCTAGATGCGATGGCACATGCATTTCATTAAATAATTGTGCATTTCACTCCATCCAACACATTCCCATATTTATTTTTTGATTAATTTATATATAAATAGTGGTTTCAACCGTGTTCATGGTCAACTTTTATGTAGATTGGCTCATGAAATTGAAGAAGATAAAAGTCATAAAACCTAAACCCATCATGGTAGGCCCCCGCCCTGCCCTTTTTCAAATTATTCACTTTATTTTATTTATTTTCATAATTTATTTCATGTAAATTGCAAAAATTTAATGTTCGTATTATTTGTATGTCTTTAAAGATAAGCATTATTCATATTTAATGTATGTATTGTTTTATACAATTCACCAAGACAAGCCTCAATCTGTCAATCACAATGCAAGTATGCAATTGTTAGTAACTGATCAGATTTGCGCAGTGGAAAAACGTAATATTTAAAACGAATCGATCAATTACATGAACCATGATCCGAATACAAATTATAACGTTTTCATGCATAAACTGAAACGTAAAATAAAACTGTATTAAAAACAAATCCATATAAGGATTTAGTTCATACCGACGTTTGGAGGCTCCTCCAAATATCTCTGACTTCGGATATGAATACTGTTCATTGGGTACTATTCACCAGATACTGTTTATCGACTCTTCACTGGATACTGTTCACGTGATTCTTCGCTAACCGATCCAATGTAGGATCACACTCACCAAAGTCCACACGAAGATAATCCGCAGAACCCTTGATTATTTTACTAGAACAATCAAGGGCTTAAAGAATCAAGAAAGAAAACAAGAAAAATTTTCTTCTTCACACAAGAGTGTAATGTGAGCGTGAGAGAGAGAGAGAGAGAGAGAGAGAGAGAGAGAGAGAGAGAGAGAGAGAGATGGTGGCTAGGGTTTTTGATTATTGAATAATTCTCATTTGTTTTAATTTTAAGTTGCACTCATGTAGTGCAAGAATTAAAACCCTATTCCACTTAAGAATAGACATGGGCTCCAACCCTAATTCACCCTTGCAACCGAGCACACCATTTATGGTATTTTAATTAATTAATTATTTTTATTATTAAAATCAATTAATATATAATAATATATTAACATTTAATTAATAATAATAATTCATTTAAATATATACATAGATATATTTAAATATAATCTCACTAATTTAATTGTAATATTCAAATTAAATACAGGCAACAACCTCAGCAAATTTAATTGCACTGTAAGATTACCAAAATACATTTTCATCTTGAAAGACAAAAATACATTTCTCACAAATTGATTCTTAAATTATTATTTAAGTGTGTGACCCGTAGGCTCCTCATCATATCGGCAGTGTGTAGTATTGCGATTAACACCAATTAATCGTCTCACTATACACAGATCAAGATTGACCCCTAGCAAGACATCATGGCCACCCGATACATTCGGATTCAACAAAACCGTAGTCTGTCAACGGTATGGTTACCGTGCAATCAAATAATTTCATCATCCGTTATCTCATCGAGACTGAGGTACAGAAATAATGTCAACCTCAGATATCCTCGACATGTTTGTATTCAGTTAATGGACCAATGACCAGAATAATAAATTGGATTGAACATCAACTCAATCCCAATGTGACTACATATTTAGTGTCATTGCCATTTATTGAATTACCCAATGAGATAACTTCTCCCGTACCGAGGAGTGATGAATCCTTTGTCGATCCATCATAGTCTCGATACACTTCTTAATGTAGCCAATCACTACCGTATTGATAGCTCTGAATAGAACTACGTTGGGCTAGTGTCAAACTACACCAATTGGTGCACAAGGCGCTCCAGTGATCTCAAGTCTAAGGATCACATGCACCACCAGCCGTTAGAGAATTTATTCCTTAGACATTAGGGTTACCATCTATATGGAATCCTCTGATGGGTCTGTCCAATGAACTTGCCTCTAGCAAGCACCTATGCGTTGCATCAGGTTGTCGGCAAACAACCTTGACAAGTGAGATCAGTCACTGCCTTTCGACAAGGTCGTTCAACGCTATGATAACCTTATTATATTATCTGTGCCCTTGGTCAGAATAATACTGGGGCTACGTACATTTTTAGAATGGCCACCATATGTGACATAGGGTTCTCACTACCAAAATTTGAAATAGTTGATACCCTTGTCACGACTCTACCATCATGAGGGCATATATCATTACATATAACTATGATTTACATGATATACAAGAATATGCCTTTTATTGATAAATAAATATTTATTACAAAATCAATTTTACACTAATTGACTGGCTCTAGGGCACTTACTCTAAGAGCAACTATAGGGTTAGGTCCCATTTTTTGATTTCAGGACCAACAAAAGAAATATTATTATATTTTCCATGTAATTAACTTTCTTTCTAATATTAAGGGCCCAATTAAAGTTAAACTTATGTTAGATTATCATTAGATTGAAGGTGGTCCGATTTGGCTTTGTGAAGGGCAGTGCAACTAAAGTCTTGGTGGTAGATCAGCGGCGTAAACAGGAGTGCTTTGCAGTTTATGGTTGGTTCATGAACAAGGAAGGTGACGACTGCGATTTGGCATCGAAAAGGCGGCAAAAACCACCGACATGACACCGCTAGGATTGATTGCCATCGTCGTCACTTCTTGCTTCGTTCTCAAGGTTGGATTCTAGTAGATTTAGTTTGGTCAACGCCGTCGCCGAAGCGCAATGGCTTTGGTTGGTTTTCTTGGGGATTTCTAGTTGTTGGTTTGGGCTGTGGAGTTCCATCGTTGGTCGTGTTTTGGTGGGCAATTTGGTGATGGGTCATATGTAGGAGTTAAAGAACAATTTATTAATTTATTTATTGAGGGCAATATGGTAATAGTTCTTCCGTACTTGTGTCAGATCCTAAAAAAAACTTTAATGATGTTGGTTTTTGGGTGAGAATCTAGAATTTATGAAACCAAAGATGGTAACTTGTCGTTTTGTGAAACCTTGGGTGCTAACATGTCGTTTACTCTTTCGTAAACGTCACTCTCTCAGATACCCCACAAACTTGTCGTTTTGTGAAACCTTGGGTGGGAACATGTCGTTTACTCTTTTGTAAACGTCACCTTCTCAGATACCCCACACGAACCTTTAACAAAATAAAAGGAACAATGATAGAGTTACCGAAAGTTACACACCGAATTTGTGCACCGAATGACATGGTAAAATCATGACTGTTGATTAATATTAACTTATAATGAATCAATGGTCAGGATTTCGTCACGTCATTTGGTACACACTCTTCGGTAACTGTAGCATTACTCAAATAAAAGTGGCGCCAATAGAAATGTGGAGGAATCAATTTATGCACAAAATGCAAAATCTTGAGATTGATAAAAAAGGATCCCCTACTTTAATTCTCTGCAGAAGAGCCATAAGTTCTTGAAACTCTAAATGATAGCTATTGACAAGTTGTATGCATGTATCTAGAGGTGGGCAAGGGACTGGTCCCTTGCGGACCCAGGCCTGGGCCCATTTGGGACTGGCCCCAAATGGGACCAGTCACTCATGGGCCTGGGACCGGTCCCAAGCCCATAAGAAAAACCAGGACTCGGACCAGGCTTTAGGCCTGGTCGGGACTGGTCCCATGGGCTCATGATCGGTCCTAGGACTGGTCCCGTGGGGCTTGGATAATTTTATTTTCCCCCCTCAAATTTTATTATATTTTGGGGGCAAAACAAAATTTTGTAGGGGGTTTTTAGTATTTTTTAGGGGTTGATTAGTAAGTTTCTAAAAATTTAATTAATGTTAAAAAATAATAAATTAAGAGTTAATTTTAATTTTTAACATAAATGTAATATTCACATTTCACACATTCACGCTTCACAAATAAACAATTAAATAATTTTTTTTTTATTAAATTATTCATCTTCAATTTCATCGTCAACACTAGTTACATTATTCAAATCTGTATTCCTAAAGAGTTCGAGTAGTTCAGGATCTTCAGGGTGCTGTTGTAGTCTTCTTTCTGCATGAGTCTAATCCCATAAACACGTTATCACTTCAATCATCTCATCGGTTAAAGAACATCTTCTGTCTTCAACAATCCGACCACTCGTTGAAAACGTTGATTCGGATGCAATTGTAGAAACCGGCACAGATAAAATATCACGTGCCATTTGGGATATAATGGGGAATCGACTTTCATGTTGGTTCCATCATTGAAGAATATCCATGTCAAGTTGCTTCTTCATCGTCATAAAGGTCAAGTCCACCTGTAGGTAGCGAGTCATCTCATTTGGTCTATGTATGTACGAGCTGGAGCTGGAGCTTCCGCCACGTTCCACATACGCCCACTTGCTCGATCCTTGAGGGGGGGCTGCATCAAGGTCCTGATCGCCTCTCCTAGCCATTCCACTTCCACTTCCACTTCCATTGTACCTGTTCTCATATAAAGAAAAAAGCCTATCCAATTTGTGTTTAAAGTCAGTCAAATAAGACGTATAATCATGTCCTAAATAATGGCCTAACTCAGTAATTACATCGTTAACTATGAATAATTTAAACCTAGGATCTAGAAAAAGGCCTAATCCATATAAGAATGGAATATCTAACCAATATCTCTTGTATTTTTCTTCCATACTTGAAACAATTTCAATTAAAATGTTATCATATCTATATTGAGCAAAAGTTTTAGCAATTTGAACTAAAATATCCAACACTAAATTAGTAGTTGGATAATAAATATCACTTAATGTATTGGTAGCATCATAAAAAATTTTAAGAACTGAATAAAAAAGTTCACAAAGCTGTAATTTGTAATTTGTAATTTGTAATTTGTTCTTCCGGTTGACGAAATCTGTAATTTGTTTCGCGGTTGACAAAGCTTTTTCCAACATCAAGTAGCTAGAGTTCCAACGGATAGGCATGTCTGTACATAACTTCGAAGGTCGAACCGGTGGCTCCTCTTGCTTACAATATTTGACGTACTCTTGCCATCTTTTATTGCTACCGTCAACGATAAATCCGATAGCTCTACGCACCCTCTCCATCTTTGAATGTATAGCATCTAAACCTGCTTTAACTATCAAATTGATGATGTGACAAGCACATATCTTTTCAAATGAAGAGATTGTCGCGATGTTAACAGCTGCATTATCAAGCGTTAGCGTTATAACTCTATCAGTTAATAAATATTCTTGCAAAACTTCAAGAATTGTAAAATAAATAGTTTCAGCACTATGTTTTTCATATAATGGTTTAAAACCTATCAATTTTTGTTGTAAACCCCAATTATGATCCAAGAAATGTACTGTGACAGTTAAAAAATTGGTTTTTGATCTACAAGCCTATATGTCTAATGTAAGTGCAATAGATATATTCCTAAAATTTTGAAATTCGTTTTTAAGTTTATTATTTATTTTGTTATAAAGTTTTAGTATATCTCTTCTACTTGTACTTCTACCAACAGTGGTATATGCTGGACAAAATGCAGTTTTAACCATATTAACAAAAAAAGAATTTTCAGATAAACAAATGGGAGAGTCCGTAGCAACTATATATCTTGATATTTCCTCTCCTGCAACATGTGTATTATATTGCCATGTTGAGAGAGTTGAGGATTGTGGATTAAAATTAAGTTGAGTTTGAATTTGTCTACCTGATCCGCTTGAAGATGCATTTATTTAGGGATGCTTCTTCTCTATGTGTCGTCGCATCGTCGAAGTCTCCTTCTCAGCCCCAATAATAGTTCCACATAAATTACACATCACACACGATTCTTCCCCCTCCCCATTTGTCTTTGGCCGTTTTGATTTGGTGAAGTATCGCCAAACATCAGACACGACCCTCTTTGACGGTCAGGGGGGTTGGGCTATGTCCGTGCCCGTTGACTCGCAGCTCGCATGTGTTTGGCTACATCTCGTCCCGACCGAATGTGGTTGTGGAATTACAGTGGTTCCTTTGGAGGAAATGGTGAAAATGGATTGAACGCTTCAATTTCTTTGGTGGATGGAACGTAAAACTCATTTGGGGAAGACATTATAAATTTATGATAAAATAATAAATAATTAAAATGAAAAGAAATTAAATAATAATATGAAATTATGATGATATTGAAAAATATAAAAAAATTTGAATAATATAAATAAATAATATGAATAAATTATAAATATAAATTGAATGAGAAATTGATTGGAGATTTGGAGTAGAGAGATTGAGAGAATGAAAGAATGAGAGATTGATTGGTGTGAAAAAAATTAAAGGTTTTAGGGTTATTTATAATGTAGTTGGGGGGGGGGGGGGGGGAAAAAAAAAAAAAAACTTATAATTAATAAATAATTATAAGTTTATAACCGTTGGCTGCTCTTGTGACCGTTGGCAGCAGCCAACGGTTATAAAAAGTTAAAATTTTTTTAAAAAAAAAATAAATTTTGTAAAATTTTATTTTAGTCATTTAATTTATACTTATTTTAGGGGCTTTAAATAATTTTACAAATGACTAAAATGGTAAAATACAAAAAAAAATTGGGCCCAGGCACAGACCTTGGAGGAGGGCCTAGTGGAGGGCCCGGGCCCTCCTCCTTAGGTCTGGTCCCGTTTTGGGACCAGGTCTCCTAGAGGACCGGGTTTTGATGCTGGGCTTTTGGGCCCGGTCCCAAATGCCCAGCTCTACCTGTATCTGCATATTTACGTTCCTTTTCCTGGTGTTTTTTAAGTTAATATACTTTACTTCCTCCTAGAGGACCGGGTTTTGATGCTGAGCATTTGGGCCCGGTCCCAATGACCGGGTTTTGATGCTGAGCATTTGGGCCCGGTCCCAAATGCCCAGCTCTACCTGTATCTGCATATTTACGTTCCCTTTCCTGGTGTTTTTTAAGTTAATATACTTTACTTTTCGGCTATTGATTTATGTCTTTTCAATGGTTTTGTTTGAGGCCATAAATATACTAAATTTCAAGTTATTATCGGTGAACACTCTTCGTTTTAATTGAGCTGGAAAAGTTGATTTGGGCTTTCCTTTTTGCTGTTACCAAATTAGATTTCATTCATTATTGCTCGATATTTTCTTCTTCTTAAAGTTCTATTTTCTCTAATATATGCGGGGTTAGAGTCTGAATAGAAAGCAGATTCATAATATTTGGGTAGTCCAACTGGGCCTGACATGTCCAGTCTTCCTTTTGTTTGAAAGTTTATTAAAAGAGGGCTATTGAATGTAACCCAGGCCCTTTTTAATTTATTAAGGTGTATTTAGTAGCAGTTTATGAATCCATAAAATAGTCCACAAGTCCAGCCCAAGCCTAAGCCCAATGTGTAATTCAAGCACTAACAAAATCTTTCCTCAAGGCCCGCAGCCCAATAAAACATCATGTGCATAAAAAGCTCCAATCATGGACATGGACCACGCCATCAAAATTTGAGAACCCAAAAATCCATGCAACATGTGCGAAACCTAATTATTATACATACAAATTTACATTGTCCCTTGAATTTTATATATCATGCAAGTATGAGACATGTGCATTTTTTTAATATTTTTTTATCACTCGGTTATAGAGATTGTCAACACTCCCCATATCACATGCAACTAGAATCAACTTTTGTCAATTTAGAGCCTAGCGGGTACAATTAGGGATCCATGTATTATTGGTATTCAGAAGAATAAATGGACGTGAGTTAACCCAATTAAATAAAAAAAAGGCCCACACTGGCCCTTAAAAATTGCAGCGATAGTCACAGATTGAACTGAAATTTACACCCGATGGGAACAGAAATATAAGGTGAGTGAATATGAATTAATGGACAAGAGTAGAGCAGATGAGTTATGTGGGATTTAGTAAATATTAATGGTTTATGGATGGAATGAATGTTGGACTGGACCACTTCTTGAATAAGATGCAACTACTTTTAAGTGGTCCATGACTCCATGCTGTGGTCCTTGTATGCTCTTGTGCTCGTGCACTTGGCTTCACATAGTAACGACTACTATATTCTTATCCATGTATTTACAACTTTTTTTAATTTTTATTACAATTAATATATTACATAAAGTGTAGGCAAGTACATAAGAAATGTTTTGTCACTTTGACCTGCACACTTTTGAATAAATATTGTTTTATATGACCTCTTACTCTTAGGAAGAAGCATTGTAAGAATTTGAAATCATACAATAATATAAATAACATTTCTACGTTGATGCTTGAAAAAAAAGAGGGAGAAGCTGACGCAAAGTATAATAAATTGGTTAGCATATCTGAATCGGCATGGTTAAGGTTTAATACCCTTCTAATTCTTCCAAAGGGAAAAATTAAAGCTATAATTATACTCTTATAAATAAAGTGATACTTAAGTCTATGCCTAAATCAAAGGAAATATAGCATAGAGTAGCATGGAAAGAGGCAAAGAGGAGGTGGATCTATGCATTTTAATGCAAATTTTAAGTTTCAAACTAACCACAAAAATTGTGCGGTGCTGACTCTTGACATTTGAAGTTAGTGAAACCAAAGACGACTTTATAAACAGGAAACAACTCCTACCTAGAGATTCAGTCTCAGAGAGTGAACAGATTGTTCGAGAGAGAAGAAGAAGAACCCATATTTTGGGGTGGAGAGAGATGAGTATTGTACACGATGAGAAGTAAAAAGAAGCTGACACAATTTGAAATTTGAAGAGAGAGAGAGAGGGTTTGTGTGTGAGTACTGAGTGGTGAGTAGAGAGAAGGAAATATGGAGAGAAAAGAAAAAGAAGTGACGAGAGGGGAAAAAAAGCAAGAATTAATGGTGAAAAAGTTGAAACGCGGGATTTTGGTAGGGAAAAGAGCAGGCCCCTCTACTCCTTCACCCACTTGGAGACTTGAGTTTACATCTCCAAATGTAAAAAACTCCATTGCTCAAGAATTTGTTACTAATCATCCTACATCAGCAGTTTCTGCTAGAAAACTTTGTGCCAGTCTCTGGGAGATTCAGCCCCACCGCCTCTCACTTCCTCAAATGCCAAAGCCAAGTTTTAAAAACAAACACAAGGGTTTTGATCTTCCAACTCATCTGGTTCACCACCCTCCTACTATTCTCCCTCGCCAGGTACTTTTTCTCTCTTTCTTTTTATTTTTAACTTGCGTATGAGGTCATTGGTGAAACATAACCTGCTAGCACTCCACTAGAAGCCGAAGCTGGAAGCCCACAAAGAATTTACCAGCTTAATTGACGACGTCCTTTGTTCCAGGAGTTCTGAAAGTTGTTTGGACTGCTAGAGCTAAACTCACACAGGAGGATCATTGTAAAACTGGACCCGACATAGTCAAATAGTCCCGTTAAGTCCGCATGCATGAGATATTGGTCAGGAATGGACACTGTGGGCTGCACCCAAGTATATTTTTTCCTCCTTGACTGTATTGCGACAAAGCCATGGCAAGCGCAGGATAGTGAGCACCACTTACCATCTCAATGTCAAATCTATACCATCCAATACGGCATCACCAAGTGGGTCTCGAATTGATTTTCCCCCTAAGAGTTGTTCCATAAATAAGCTGCGACACTCCTAGCATCATCATCTGATACAAGGAGTAGCTGCCGGCACCACCTCCGATTAAAGCAGCACCTTAATTCCTCGCTTTGGCAATATCTAATGTCTGTACTCACGCTTTGGCAACCTTTAATGCTGGGTTACAGTGACCAGCTAAGTTGATTTGCGGCTTTTGGCCATTGCCAAATTGTGAGAGGAAAGCTATGTTACGATTTCTTATTTCCTGTGGCCATGTTGTTGTGAGTTTGGCCCCAGTATCCACAATGACTCCGGCGTTTTATAGAAACTAAGCAAGTAATGTTAGAAGGAGAGAATTGCAAATGAAATTGTTGAGAAAGAGAAACCATGTTTAAACCAGATTGAGAATATGAAGTTCTTGATATGCAAAAGGTTATGGACGAATCCCTCTTATACGCATTTTGAATCAAGGTCAGAAAGATGTTTCGAATCCGTAGGCTGCAAGTTGTTATGTTAGGACCAAGGAAATACATAATTGTGGCTAATAATGCATCTCATAATTCCCAATCGGAAAACAAAAGGGTGCCCGTTTCTTGACTTCTACATGCACGAAGGAAGAAACAAGGTAATTACCTTGTTTCTGGATTCCGTCACATGTGAAAGGAACCATTTCTCTGGTTTACCTTACACATCCTCTTCGTCTTTGTTTTATTATTTATGATCTAAGTATGCATAAAATATTCTCTTTGTATAAGTTTACGAATTTGAAATCTTAATTTGATATTGCGTGCAAGAATAACAGGAGCAAGTATTATGTAGATGATAACATCTTTTTATGTTCTTGGATTCTTACTTGTAGAGAAGTTGATAACACATTATAACATGGGATTGATAGATATTGATCTTTTAACTATTTATAATAGAATCCTTTGCGTGGTATATTTTATTGAAATTCGGAGTCCTTAGTATTATTACATCATCAGAGTACTAAGGTAGAACCTTTTTGTTTAAGCGAAATTAAGTGGAAGAAGAAAAAGCAGTAGTTTACAAACGTTTGGCTTAATAGCGGAGCTATAGTCTTTGTCATGATACCTTACCAAAGCATGACACCTCCATAGTTTGAAGAGTTCTTAATAGACGGTAAAATCTGAGAGTTAAGCACATCAGGAGCAATATACCACTCCCAGCTGCTTCAGGAGACGCAGGCAGTCCCAAAAATACTTGGCTTGAAGGTTGATTTATGTCCACTGATTCCAACTGTTCTTAAGGCTGTCTCCGTTACCAGAATATTCACAAGGATGTTTGTTATAGAATTGGACCAAAATGTAATCAAATAGGTCCAGTCTTAATGCACCACCCACCCATGCATCAGGGTACGGACATTGAGGAGCTGCTGATAATACACTTTCTGGTTAAATCCTATAAGGTCTTTGCCAGTTCGTCCCATTTCTGTGTAGTGCCTCCCTCAATATCAAAATCAATACCATCTAAAACTGCGTCACCTAATGGACGTGAGCTTACTGACCACCAAGAAAATTGTCCCACAAGTAATCGCAACTTGCCTGCACGACATTAAATACATTAATTAATTTCTCATTTGTCAATAAGGAGCTAACCAATGAAAAATAATAATAATAGAGCATGCCTGGCATCATCAGCTGAGGAAAGCAAATAGCTCCTGAACCACCTCCAATAGAGAGCAAGACCTAATTCCTTGGTTCTGGCAAGCTTTAATGTCGGAGCTCAAACCAGTGCAACCATTAGAGGCAGGATCACAGTGCGCAGCGAGATTGAGTGACGGGGTCTGGCCATTACCAAGGTGGATAAGAAAGCTATGTTCACAATTCCATAATTGCCAGTGGCACAAGCATCTGCATGCTTCCTTCATTTCCATTCTGACCCCATACACGGAGATCACACCGGCATTAGAGCCGCTGATGAAGGCAGCTAGCATGAGGCAGATAGGGCTATAGTGTTCAGATATTGATGAGCCATTGGGTAGGTGGTAGTCTACTGCTTGGTGAACATTCATTGAGAAACACATTCTTATATAGATTAGCATGTAACAATGCCTTCGTTTTAGCCCGTACACTCAAGTTATGGTTGTTAATTAATATTTATTAAACGTGTCTTGAAGGTTAGAAAGTCCTCCAATTGAGTAGTCTTCGAAAGACTTTTCAAATATACATTGGGCTAAATTTAATCGACATATTGCTATTGAAAGATTCTGATCCGTTCGTCCACCATAACTCTAGACAACTGAGACTTGAAAAATTGCTTAGGCCCTAAATATTTTTATGCATTTTTTATTTAACAAAAAAAAATTGATTTTCTTTTCTAATTATAATTATTTCAATCCAAATTTTTGGTTAAACACTTTTAATTTCAGTACAAATTCTATTTAAGGTCAATTAAAAACGCTGGTTACAAGTTTGAGGAGAACGGAAAAATGTTTGGCCCAAAACATAAGATGCGTATAAAATGGAAGTCCACAAGGAAAGTCAAAGTCTAAACAATTATCTTCTAAATTTAAACGCGGCTACGGTAACCAAAGTTTCCATTACGTGTGGACACGTGGTTTTACTTTTACATTGCGCAAACATGTTCCCACCCAAGGTAAAGCTAATTCCATTACTGTGGACCCGTGGTTTACTTTTACATTGAGCAACAACATGTTCCCACCCAAGGTAAAGCTAAATGTCAAGTTCCCACTCGATTTCAAGTTGAGGAGAATGGAGAAATGTTAGCAATTTCAGACGTTGACACAAATATAGAATCTATTATTACCATATTGCCCTTGATAAGTAAATTAGAAAATTATTTTTTACTATGACTTAACGCTTCCATTTCCAACCTAATTCATTATTCGTCTCTCAAAATAACACCCTTTTCATATGTTGCGTTAAATAAAAAAAATATCTTTTCCATCCCTTCAATTATTTAGAAAAAGAAAGAAAGAGTTACTATTAATCCTGACTGGCTAAAAAGTATGATGAATTATAGAGACACATTTTAATTAATGTTAGATTTCCACTCTCTCTAAACCTATAGATAGATGAATATTTTTAAAAGTGATGTAACATTTCTACCACGAAAATTGAACAAATGGGTTCCTGATATATTTGTTGGTTTGAAATATCAAATCATACTTAATGCAAAAATATATACCTAGATGCGATGCACCATGCATTTCATTAAATAATTGTGCATTTCACTCCATCCAACACATTCCCATATTTATTTTTTGATTAATTTTATATAATAGTGGTTTCAACCGTGTTCATGGTCAACTTTATGTAGATTGGCTCATGAAATTGAAGAAGATAAAAGTCATAAAACCTAAACCCATCATGGTAGGCCCCCGCCCTGCCCTTTTTCAAATTATTCCCTTTATTTTATTTTTTTCATAATTTATTCATGTAATTGCAAAAATTTAATGTTCGTATTATTTGTATGTCTTTAAAGATAAGCATATTCATATTTAATGTAGTATTGTTTTATACAATTCACCAAGACAAGCCTCAATCTGTCAATCACAATGCAAGTATGCATGTTAGTAACTGATCAGATTTGCGCATGGAAAAACGTAATATTTAAAACGAATCGATCAATTACATGAACATGATCGATACAAATTATAACGTTTTCATGCATAAACTGAAACGTAAAAAAAAACTGTATTAAAAACAATCCATATAAGGATTTAGTTCATACCGACGTTTGGAGGCTCCTCCAAATATCTCTGACTTCGGAGATGATACTGTTCATTGGACTATCATCACCAGATACTGTTATCGACTCTTCCTGGATACGTTCACGTGATTCTTCGCTAACCGATCCAAGTAGGATCACACTCACCAAGTCCACACGAAGATAATCCGCAGAACCCTTGATTATTTTACTAAACAATCAAGGCTTAAAGAATCAAGAAGAAAACAAGAAAAATTTTTCTTCTCACACAAGAGTGTAATGTGAGCGGTGAGAGAGAGAGAGAGAGGAGAGAGAGAGAGAGATAGAGAGAGAGAGAGAGTGGTGCTAGGGTTTTTGATTATTGATAATTCTCATTGTTTTAATTTTAAGTTGCACTCATGTAGTGCAGAATTAAAACCCTATTCCACTTAAGAATAGACATGGGCTCCAACCCTAATTCACCCTTGCAACCGAGCACACCATTTATGGTATTTTAATTAATTAATTATTTTTATTATTAAAATCAATTAATATATAATAATATATTAACATTTAATTAATAATAAATTCATTTAAATATATACATAGATTATTTAAATATAATCTCACTAATTTAATTGTAATATTCAAATTAATACAGGCAACAACCTCAGCAAATTTATATTGCACTGTAAGATTACCAAAATACATTTTCATCTTGAAAGACAAAAATACATTTCTCACAATTGATTCTTATTATTATTTAAGTTGTGACCCGTAGGCTCCTCATCATATCGGCAGTGTAGTATTGCGATTAACACAATAATCGTCTCACTATACACAGATCAAGATTGACCCCTAGCAAGACATCATGGCCACCCGATACATCTATTCAACAAAACCGTAGTCTGTCAACGGTATGGTTCCGTGC